ATAAAAAAGAATAAATTGGGTTTTTGTTAGAGTTTTTTTTATCTTTTAATTTTTTAAGCCTATTACACTTTTTCATTTTTAAAACTTTCTTAAAATTTTAATTAGGTTATTTAATTTGAAATGCTGATATTTTTTTAAAATTTAAAATGCTGTTAAAATATATTTTCTAGTTATTTTATTCTTATTTTTCTTATTATTTTATTCTTATTAATTACTTTATTCTTTATTAATTATTTTATTACTATTCGACACAATGATTGCAAACTTCTGATATTATTGGCCATTGACGAAATTAATCAAAATGGCTGAACTCTGATAATATGCTTATTTTGGTATTGGTTATTCTCTATGCTGTTATGTTATGATAAAAAATTCTAACTTGTTTTTCGCGAGCTATGCAACCTATTTCGATCGAAAAAATTTAATATGAAATTAATTCATTTAACGTGTTTTAAAGTGTTTACACCTTAAAACTCATTAAAAGTATAAGAATAAAAAAATTACTTTTGTGATACGACTTTAGACGTGTGAAAACTGGTTTTATATTTGTTGACTAATTTGCTTTATTCTTTTGGATTGTTGATACTAATGTTTCAAAAATCCAAGTCAATTAAATAACTTTTTTGTAAATTATATTTTTTCTCGATTGAAGTTTTTTTAAACAATATGGTAATTAACACTAATGAATTAGCACATTTTAAGTATGTTACTCCAATATATATTTTTTAAGCATTGGTAAACTTTTGTGGTCTAATAAAAATATTTAAGATTACTCTAATCATTATTAAAATTAATTTTTCCTTCAGAGGACGAATTCTGGTTGATATTTACGTGTGCTTACACTGAATTCAACAAAAGCTATTTACTATAGGGAAGCTAGTTAACTAATAGAGAACTTTTCTTATATTAAAGAACTTTATTATTCAAAATAAAAACCTATAACAAAGGACTCATTTATATTGAAATTTGATAAAATAATTTCATTTTTCTAAAATCGATATAAGGACTGAGCTTTAAATGACCATTAAGAACTTCTCATTCTAAATAAGATTGACAAATAGTGAATATGTTTAAATCTTACTTATCTCCTTGGTGAACTTGGCCATTAACGGTCTTAAGTAGATCGCATCATTGACTGCTGAATTTAGCAATTACCTTTGCATTTTCTCTACCAGATTATCAGGGTCCGACTTAACCTAATTGGGGCCCTGGGCAAAAACTTCTTTGTGTGTGGTGACCCCTCTGCTTCACTACTTTAGTAATGAAGGTATATAATATGGAGGAATTTAAAAGCATTAAATTTTGAAGTATTTAAATTTTTCACCTCATTGTAGGTAACAAGAAAATTGTCTCGAACCTAAAACGGCTATGAAGTCCCTCCCCCTCCAATGGTCAGACAAAATATCGTTCAGTCCATTTTATTGATTTTCTGATAATTCTATGTCCATCATGCCAATGCAGTTTTCTGATTGTTAACTTTGTCATCTAGCAGCGAAAAATCCATATCCTTCCTGACAATAGAGCTACATTTACGCAATTACCATGGCTCAATTAAGCCAATCAGAAGCCCGTGTTCTTGTAAACATATCTCATTTTGCAATATATCTGAAAATACAGGCTTTTGATTGGCCAAATTTGCCCAACGTAATTGCGAAAATTTATCTGAATTCCCCCTTAAAAAGCTATAGATTTACGAAAAATAAAGATTGCGTTCATACGATAGATTAATGAAAAAGCTAACGCGAAACTGACGGATTTTACTCTAAACTGATATTTTATTTTAAAAAAAATTCATTAAAGATTGTAACGTAAAATAAACTTTCTATTCGATTCGGGGGCTCCCTCTGAAGCGGGGACCAAGGGCAACTGCCCCGTAAACCCCTGCCTTAGTCAGGCTCTGCAGATTATCCTAATATCTTAATTTCTATAATTTCCTTAATTTATTTAACTGAAGAGTAAGTATTATAAGCTTACCTTTCATCTTGCTTTCATCTCGGACACGTGTGAACTCTAAATCTGGTTCATTAAAACCATTGTTTTTAGAAATTATCTTTATGATTTTTTGTCAAGCGATATTTCATTACAAACATTCCCTCAAATTAGACATTCTTAATAACTTGAGTTCTTCAAAACCTGTTATTTGGAAAGTACTTCTTAACTTCCTTCTTGTTCTTTTTCCATCTGGGGCCCATGAAAGAGCTAAATCTGGGTAATTGAAAAAAACATTTTTTTGAAAATATTTTGGTAAGTTTTTCCTAAGATTCTTCGCACATTTTTTTCTTCTAAACAATCACTCTCACCATTTGTTCTTAATACATTGAAATCATTCAAAATCAACCACTGAAAAGTTAGTAGCTCATTTCTTCTCTGGGATTTATGTAATTGTGAGATCTTGTAATATGAAAAAATATTATTCAGGTTTAAATATCTTAAGGATTTCTTTTCAAGCGATCTCTCATATCTTATTTATTTCTTCAACTGGCCATTATATCTATATAATATTTTTACTACGTAAATAAAATAAAAAAACGCGAAATTTGTGATTACTCTCACCAGATATTATTAATAACTTGAGTTCTTCAAAAACCATTAGCTGAAGAGTAATTTTTAACTTCTTGCTTGTTCTTTTTCCAACTGGGGGCCATGTAAGAGCTAAATCTGGGTAATTAAAAAAAAAAAACATTTTTTTGAAAATATTTTGGTCAGTTCTTCCTAAGATTCTTCTCATATTTTTTTTTCTTCTAAATAACCAGTTTCACCATTTGTTCTTAATACATTGAAATCATTCAAAATCAACCACTGAAAAGTTAGTAAAATCGTCCTTGCTCTTTTTCTCTCTAGGATCTTTTTCTCTCCTACATAATTGTGAAATCGTGTTTTATGAAAAAATATTATTCAGGTATAAATATCTTGAAGATTTGTTTTCAAGTGAACTCTCAAATCTTACTTATTTCTTCAATCACATATTAAATACATAATTTTTTTTACTATGCAAATAAAAAAAATGCGAAGTTTGTGATTACTCTATCTAGATATCTTTAATAACTTGAGTTCTTCAAAAACCATTAGCTGAAAAATAATTTTTAACTTCTTTCTTGTTCTTTTTTCTATTTGGGGCCTATGTAAATGTTAAATCTAGGTAATAAGGAAGAAAAAACTTTTTTCTGAAAATATTTTGGTGTTTTCTTCAAAAGCTTCTTCTCATATTTTTTTTTCTTCTAAATAATCACTTTCACCATCTGTTTTTAATATGTTTAAATCATTCAAAATCAGCCACTGAAAAGTTAGTAAAATCGTCCTTGCTCTTTTCTTCTCTAGGACCTACATAATTGTGAAATCTTGTTTTATGAAAAAATATTATTCAGATATAAATATCTTGAAGATTTCTTTTCAAGCACTCTCTTATATCTTACTTATTTCTTCAGCTGGCCATTATAGATATATACATTTTTTTTTAAAAACAAATTTGAAAATATGAAACGCAAAATTTGTGATCCCTCCAACCAGATATTCTTAATAACTTGTGATTAATATTCTTAATAATCTTCAACAATCGTTAGCTGACCAGCAATTTTTAACAACTTTTTGTTCTTTTTCCATTTGGGGAACATGTAAGATTTAAATCTAGATTATTAAAAAACCAATTTTCCAAGAATATTTTAATGTTTTCTATCCAAGATTCTTCTCTTTTTTTTTCTCTAAACAATAACTCTATTTGGAATTCATTGTATACCTATTATATGGAATTCATTGGCCCATTAATACCTATTATACCCATTAATACCTATTATATGGAATTCATTGGCAATCAACCACAGAAAAGTAAATAGAATCCTTCTTGGTCTTTTCTTCTCCGAGACTAATGTAATTTTGAAATCTTGTTAAATGAAAAAGTATTATTTTAGAAAAATATCTTAAGGATTTTTTTTCTAGGATTCTCTCATATTTCTGATTAATCTTATTTAATCTCATCGAGTGGCTATTATGTTCCTTTTCCATTTGAGGCTCTTGTAAGATTTAAACCTGTATTTTCTTTCAGGTTAAGAAAAAACTATTATCCTTATGAAGAGAACTTGTTTGCATCTAAGGGCAGATTAAATGAATGCAAAGCTCCAAGTACGAATGAAAATCAACATCGCTAACTCTTGAAACGTCGTAGCGCAGCCATCCTTTTGATTATAAAAAACTGCGCGAACAAAATTTCTGTTCGGCAAGTTTAATTTTTAAAAACTTTCACATTGTATTTTAAGCATAAGTACATAATTTGATAGCTAAATAAAACAGAACTATCTGCAGATGAGGGTGATTACTTAAACCCTTTGCCGTAAGGATTTTTTCTTAATTTGTAACGGAGTATAGGTAATTTAAAAAAAAAAGAACTTTTTTTCGAAAATATTTTGATGTTTTCTTCCCAAGCTTCTTCTCAGATTTTTAACTCTCACTATTTGTTCCTATTGTATTGAAATCTTTGAAAACTGAAAAGTAAATAGAATTCTCCTTCCTCTTTTTCTTTTTCTCTAGGACTTGTATAATTGCGAAATCCTGTTAAATGAAAAAATATTATTTAGGTAAAAATATCTTAAAAATTTCTTTTCAAGCAATCTAGTTAATAATAAAAAACATATTTTTGAAAAAATATCTTGATATTTTCTTCCCCAGCGGCTTCTCCTATTTTTTCTAACCAATCTCTACAACCATTTATTCCTAATATCTTAAAGTCATTCACAATCAGTTACTTATTGAAAAGTAAAAATAATCCTCCTAGCTCTATTCCCCTCTGTTATAAATATTATAGTATTTTGAATATTAAAAAAGAAGTAATATTTAGATAAAATTATCCCAAAGGTTTTCTTTTTTTTGACTTGCAATCTCTTATCTTTTTTAAATTATTCAATTAGCCATTTTTTAATTTTTTTAACTATAAAATATTTAAATTATTAAAATATAAAATTATACTATAAAAATATACTATAAAATATTAAAATATTTAAATTTTAACAATAAAATATTAAATTATTTAAATTTTTTAACTCTAAAATTAACTTTCTAAAATTAGCTGCGTTGGATTAATTTTCGAGATAATTTGCTTCCACCATTCCATCTCCATTTTTAGTAGTTTGCGGAGTTCCATTCGCAAAAATCTTCTTCGTTTTCCTCCTCCTTCGTTAATCTTAAGCCAATCCTGACTTCATCGTCTGGCACTGTCCACTCGTAGTCATCAAAATCTTTCCAGTTCCTCTCAAAACCAATCATGTCATAGTGGATTTCGGGAAATTTCTCTTTTGATGCTTTCTCCAACCACTGCCCAGTTCTTTCCTTGATTTGCACACCTCTATTTTCACCACATGACAAACGTGGCTTTGGGTCCTTTTTTTTCTGATCTTCATTGAAAAAATCGAATTCTTCATCTTCTTCGTAAGGATACCATCCGTCGTCTTTGGTCTGGATCCACTCCCATATGAGCTGGAACTTCTTGGTGTTGTAACCAGATTCTTCACACCATCCATAGTCATCGGTATGATGGCCTGGATACCAAACTTCCGGAGGCTTGACTACGAGATAGACATTGCCCACTCCATCGTATTCTTCGCTGAATCGGGCCTGCACGCGATCTTCCTTACAGTCAGGCCGCTGTTCCATCTCTTCTTCATCAACACTCCAAACATCAGCATCTTTCACTTCTTCATTCAAAATCAGCACCTGTCTCTCTTCCTTCTTCCCTTTCTTTCCTCCGCGTCCGAAGCTATGAAAAAGTGAAGAAACATTTTTTCAATAATTAGTTAATAATAATATAATATAATAATTTATGTATAACAATGTAAATATAATAATAAATTTATAAGTAGAAAACGTGAAATATGATGTATTTTATTTTTACTGTACAAATGCTTCCGTTGTTGTTGTTGACGTAGGCCTGTTAAGGCAGAGGGGTGCGATTGTTCTTGTTTTCCAGTGGTGCCATCAATGACCAAGAATTCGACTTCTGCCACACCCATACGTCACGCCCGTTTAAAGGGCGGACCCATTTATACATCCATTCATTCATCCACATAACGTAATTTCGTCCTGAATCAGAGAACGATCAATCTCCAATTCAGTACCTCCAGAGATATTGATTTGTTATGGGAACATGGAGGACATTGCGACTCGACAGATTTAACGTACATCTACATTTTATTACACGGGGAATCTTCTTCCGGTGGAATTCGAACCCATGAACTCTCGGGCATGGGCCCAGCGCCCTACCGATCAGGCTATTCCTGCCCAAAATACTTTCCTGATAATATATTGTAAATAATTTATCAAAAGTATTATGTAAGTTTACTCAATGAGAATAAGAAAGTTTTTGTAAAAAAACGAAGGCAAGTATCTAACTGATTAGACTCATCACTGTTCGTTCGGAATATAGGAATACAGCAAAATATATTTATATTTCTAGTGCATCTAAAACTATGCTTGTAAATGTAAATAATTTGTAACGACTCTGAAAAAAATTTGGTGTGTGGTTACCTCCATTTTTTGGTGTTGAGGTAAACTGAGTTTTGGTATAGTGCAGGCAATAAATTTTTTTATTTACTTTTGCACTATTCTAGTTTTATTTATTTATTCGTTTTTTGCTTACAGATAGCACATGTTTCCATGTGTATTCGAAAGGTGCATGTGCATTATGGTTTCATTGAAAAAACATATTATTAAAAAAAAAATTACATTTTAAATAACTTAAGTGCTTTTTCATTTTGCGAGGGAGAGTTAATTCTGTTACTCAATTTATTTATTTAGATTTCTCCCTACAGTAAAAAAATTATAAAAAAAAGTTGAATTTGTATGCACCGGGTGAATTTTTATTACCAACTTTATTTCTTTGCGTGGCGAAATGGAGAAGTACCATAATATATTTGCACTAATTCTTTACGTCAATTATTTTTCATATTATTTTGCCAATTTATATAGATTTTAGATCAATAACTACAGTGTTGTACTTATCCATGTTTGCAAGAGATATTTTTAAAAAAAGAAACAGCGATACATTGCAAAGAAATTTGACTGCCAATTCTAATTTGGCGATTACACTCGTAGAGAACCTAGAAACTAATTTTCAAATGTTCAAGGTGTTTGCTTCTTTATTTCATCAATTAAATACTATGCAGATTAAACAATTTATCATTCAATATTTATATCTCTAATACTAAACAGTCACCAAGTACCAGTCAATTTCGCAATTTATCTCTCATTTATTCTTTCCTACTTAAGTATTTAACACTAAATCAAAGTTTTTTTTGAATCTATTACAACAGTCTAAGGTTTGTCAGAAGTTTATTTTAGATGTTTTAAATCAAAATATGAACTAAGCAAAAACATTAAACAGTAATTATAATGTAGATGAATATAGTTTGTTTCTTCCAAATTGGTTACAAAGCAAGTTAAAAAAAGAAATTTTAATAAATGAAACAAAGATTGAATAAAGAATTAAGCTAACCTTTTTTTAGTAATTATAATTGTGAGTAATCCGCGTGATACCATTTATTTAAATAAAAGTAAAACTAAACATTCACTTAAGCAGGGTAGAATTTATTTTAGTATTTTTAAATGATATATTAGTATTTCATTTTGGAACTTTTAGTTCCCATCCATTTATAAACACAAAATAAACGTTTTTGGAATGTTTAAGTACTTGCTTGAATATTTTTGCGTAAGTTATAAACATAAAAGAAACTATATTTAATTAAAAGGGCAAATAATTCTACATTTGAGAACCTGGTAGTATTCAAAAAATATTACACGTAATTAAGAACAGACAGTGAGATTTATTATTTTATGCATTCAGTCTTTGAAAATACATTATAAATGTTTGTTTTTTATTAACTATTTTAAAACGACTAATAATTAAAATAGAAACACTGAATTTTTAAAATATAAGTTAAATATGATTAATTTAGTTTGATTACCAATAGCTCTAAACATTAGTTAATCTTAGCTATATATTCTTTACTTACATTTTCTTTATAGCTTTGAACATCGTTGATTTTAAAGTTCGTTGAAACAGTACAACATACGTACAAGAGTTTTCAAGTAGATATGATTTAAAGACGTTTTCTTTTTAAGTACATACGCACTAATGCTGAACAGTGATTTGCTTAAATTTGGACCAATAAAAATGTTTGTCAGATAATTTTCAATATGATTGTTTCGAATGTTTGGAAGACAGGATTTAATTAAATATTATTTTTTAATAAAACATGTATATTTAATAAAGAAATAATGAATTATATATGCACTAAAAACAAAATTAAGTTGGCGGAAAATAAAAGTAATGTGAAAACAAATTTCGTTAGGAAAATTCACAAAACTCTAAAATTCGCATGAAATAAAATTCCATTAACTTTTTCCTATTTTTTCGTAGTAGTTATGCAGTATCATTGAATTATTATTTAGTAATATTTATGCAGTATTCTTGAATTATAATTTAGTATTTTTTTTTCCTTTTCAGTAATATTTATGCAGTATTATTTAATAGTATTATTAAACTCAATTTGTTCAAAGGAAAATCTGAAAAATAAAGTGCCAATAAACTGTAAATCTAGCACATGGTTGTTATAGTAAAGACATTTAAATAAAAATATTTTGAATCAATAACTGTAATCAAGGCAACTCTGTAATAGCTAGTGGTCGAAAAATATGTACGTGTAAATGAAATCTTAAATATGCAAAACAATGAAGAATTTTGTAGAAATGGATCCAATACAAAATGAAAGAGTTAAGCTATAAAAAAATTAAACATTTCAATAATTAGTTAATAATAATTTAATATAATAGTTTATGCATGATAATTTATATGCAATAATTTATCTATAGTAATTTATATGTAATAATTTATATATGATAATTTATATATAATAATTTATGTATAACGAAGTATATATAATAATTTATAAATAATAATAAATTTACAATTTGAAAACGTGAAATATAATGCATTTAATATTTCTGGACTAATGTTTTCGCAAGTAAATCCTTTATCAAAAGAATCTTATAAATTTTCATGAAATAAAAAAAAGGTTCTGTAAAAACGAATGCGAGTATCAATCTTATCAGGAACATAGCTGTTAGTTCGGAATGTTGAACCTCTGTCGGAAAAGTGAATAGCTATGACTTTACCCATTGCCATGGAATGAGATTCTAGTTACTAAGAAAATAAAAAACAATACATTTAATTCCTAAAGAAAAATGTTCCTTCAGAGAAATGTATTGAGAAAACTGATGTTTTTCCTGTAACTTTTGTAAACGAAAATCCAGACTACATGCTTTAGAACAAGATCTTACGTAATTTAACAAAGATTCCTGCTTTTCTTTTTGTTTACCTTCACAGAAATTTTAAACTGAGTACATGAAACTAAAGGTAGTGTTTGACTAGATATTGATCAAAATATGGTTAAAACATGAATTAAATAACAATTTTGAAAATCAGTTTTTTATTAGGATCAGATTTATCATAAAGCATGGATTGCTGTAAGATATTTAACCAAAGGTTAAACAAGTCAGTGATAATTTTTAAAAAAATGCTGATGTGAGATAAGAAATATGTTGGAGACGTAACTGCTATCTTTGCTGCAAATATGTACAAATTTTACATATTCGTTACTAGAATAGTAAATAAATTATGTATCTATTGCCTCTCAAACTATATTTGTAAAGGTAATTAATTTGTAACCACACTGTAAAGCATTTGTGTGTATAGCTTTCACCATTTTTGGTGCTGAGATAAACTAAATATTTTTTACTGTGCATCCAATAAAATATTTTCTCTTTTATTTACATTTTCACTATTATAGTTTTATTTATTTATTTATTCGTTTCTTTTACTTTTGTTTGCTTTTTGACAACTCATTTTTTCATGTGCATACGAATCAATTTATGACTTAGTTGCAAAAACAAACCTTTTAAAAAACAGGCACATTTTTAAATATACATATTCACTAATTCTTTTTTTTTATAACCGTCGTTGAACAGCCGACCCAATTTTATGGGTTTACGACTACTAATGTTCAAGTCCGTAGTCTTGTAATTTTGAACCCACTCCTGAAGACAAGGGAACTCCTGGATCGAGTATTGGGTGAAATTTGCCTTCGTGGAGGACTTTTTGATGGAACCAACTCGTATTTGCGTTACATAGAGAGGAAAACCACAAAAATCTCCCACGTTTAGCCTGGTGTCAAGGGGATTCTAACCCATGATTCATCTATGAATTAGGATATTTCACATCGCACTGTGGTAGGTGCAAGTCGGATGCGGAATTCGGTTCGACTGGGATTCGAACCCGGTTCGCCGCATTGGAAGGCGAACGTTCTATTCCCGGAAATATCGCGGATCTCACTAATTCTTTCAAACAACATTAAACTGGATAAAATTCAAACTGGGTAATTACAAGTCTGTACTTAAAACTATATTTAATTTAACGCCAAAAATGGTAGTTTATATTTTTACGGTATGTCAAGCATTTTTAATTAATAACATTTAGAACCTTGGGTACTTGGTGTTTAGTGATTTTAGATATAATGAAAAATAAAAATGTTTAAATTTTGCCAGGATTGTAACAGATCCTTGTTTTTGTTTTTTTTTTCGGGAAAAGGCAACTGACCCCTTTTGCAGATTACAAAACAAATCAATTATCCTATTCGTTAGTCAAGATTTAAAAAAAATAGTTATCCAAAAATTTTAAACCCTATTCGTTTGCAATCTCTTAGACTGATCCACACACATTTTAGCTTATCCTATGAAAATAAGTGCTGTCAGAGTAGCCTAGTTTAATTATTATCCAGTTTTAAGAAACAAACAATGATAAAATATAAAAATTTTGACTGCCAATCTGATTTGGCGACTATACGTGTAAGTTTCCTAGAATCTAAATTCCAAATTTTTAACGTAATTATCTCTTTACTATATCAATTAAATATTATTGAGGGAAAAAATTTTATAAATCAATATTTTTATTTCTACGACCAAGTATTGCACCAATTACCAGTACCAGTCAATTTCGAAATTTATCTCTGATTTCTTTCTTAAGTGTTTAAAACTAAATCTAAATATTTCTATCGTGTTACAATAGTCTAAGGTTTGTCAGAAGTTTATTTTGTGAATAGAAGTTTATACATTAAATCAAAATATGAACTTTACAAACACCATCCAGTAATTTTAATGTGAGTGAATATCGTTTGTTTCTTCCATTACAAGCGCATATTCAGTAAGCTATTTTGATAAACGTAAAGATAATTAAAGACAGGATTTAGCTAACCTTTTTTTTTATTTTTCTAATTGTGAGGAGTCCGCGCTAATTCTTTATATTAAAAAAAATGAAACTAAACATTCACTTAAGCAGGATAAAATTTATCGCAGTATATTTTAAACGACCTTTTAATATATCACTTTATAGACTTTGTTTACCATCCATTTCTAAGCACAAAATAAACGTTATTAGTTTGCTTAAGCACTTGCGGGAGTATTTTTAGCATGTAAGTTATGAATATCAACGTAACTATACTTAATAAAAATAGAAAATCATTCTACATTTGAAAACCTGATAACATTAAAAAAACGATATGTAGTTTAAAACAGACCGTGAGCTTTATTATTTTATGCATTCACTCTTTTAAAATGTTTTTTAAATGTTTGCTTTTATTTCATAACTGCTACAAAATGAAATAGAAATACTGAATTTTTAAATTTAGACTTCAAACATTGGCGTTTATAGCATTTGTTAAATATGATTAATTCAGTTTGTTTGACCTTAGCTATGAAATTTTAATTAGTTTTAACAACGTTTATTTTTAAATTACTTACAGCTTCTTTATCGCCTTGAACATAGTTGTTTTTAAAGCTTCTGGAAACTGTACAACATACGCACAAGAAATTTCAAATAGAAATGATTTAATGTACAATTTTAAGTGAGACGTTTTCTTTTTAAGTGCATACGCACTAATGCTGGACAGTCATTCGTTTAAATTTGGACCAATAAAAAATGTTTGTTAGGTAATTTTCAATATCATTGTTTAGAAAGTTTGAAAGGCTGGATTTAATTAAATATATTTTTAATAAAAAATGCATATTTAAAAAGGAAATTATGAGTTACATATACTTCAACTATAAAATTAAGTTAGTCGAAAATAAAAGCAATATGAAGCTGCTAGTAAATCAGTAAGAAAGTTCATAAATCAGGACGAAAATGCTCTTTGCATTTTGTTGCATTGATGTGACAAAAACGAGATTCTTAATCTAATCGGTCTACTAAAAACGTATTATTTGAAAGAAAAAAATTCATTATTTTCTTCTTTTTAATTTTGTACCTGTTACTTAATTTATGTAGGAAAGTGGTCTGAATTTCTGAAGGAGAAAAAAATGCATATTGCCAATAAAATGACGCGTACCAAGAAATTATTTACTTAAAAATTTGATTTCAAAGATCTCGTTTTAGCTGTATGTTGGGTAGTTCTAGACATTTTCATAAGAAAAGAATAAGACAAAAAAAATCGTTTTAACAAAATAAAACAGAATTTATAATTTAAACTTAAATAAGATATCCATTACATATTATGACAATAACTTGCTAAAAATGCACCACAAAGCATTTCAAAATCATTTTGCCATCATATTTTTTTTTCAAAAAAGCCATGGCAACTCCATCTTCGAACCCTTAGCCCAACGTGACACTCCACTCACCTACCAACTCTGTCTTTTCATTTGTTTCGAAGAAAGCATCAACACTTTTATGCACTTATTTTTTTTAAATAATTAAAGAAATAACCATTTTAGATGCGCCATTTTCTTAATCCGCCTTCCCCTTTGTAAAAATGCATTTAGTTTTACTTAACAATAAAATTTACAGCAATTATAAATCAGTTTTTTTTTTTACACTTTATAAAACATTTAAGAATATCTACATTTACATTTTACATTTGCAATTGTGGGCACTCTTTGAGCGCAGTGGTTTTAGATGTAATAAAAAATAAAAATATTTATAATATGTAAAATGTTGACCGTGCTTCTTGTAATAGAATCTTTTTTTGAGAAAAAGCAAACGACTTTTTGAAGATGACAAAAAAAAATTAAGTTTGATAATTTGATATCCTACTTGTTTGTCAATCTTAGACTAACCTTCCATATATATATACAGTGGAGCATTATTTATACGACGCCAAAGGGACCACCGTAAAACGTCGTAGAAATGATAACGTCGTGTAATCGATTTTTACTTCTAAAACTGGAACTAACTCTGTTTTCAGTTCATTTTGATGTTTAACGTGTTGATTTACATAAATTTCTAAATTAGACGAAGCAAAACAAGCAAATAACCAAAGAAGAAAAATCACAGTGAGCAATTTGAATGTGTGTTACTTTTATTTATTTACTTATTATTTTTTATACTATACATATATAACTATATATATAGCTAATATAGCTAGGTGTTGTGCGAGTAACCAAATTTAATTATGGCTGTATTTTAAAGAAAGGAGCTGTTATAAATTATAAACAAATTTGATTGCCATTTTAATTTGGCGATTACCTAAGTTACCTAGAATCTAAATTTTAGATTTTTCAGGTTTTTATGTCTTTAACACATCATTTTAATATGTAGGAAAAAAGTTTTATAAATTTATATTTATGTCTCTAATACTGAACAGTTTCCAAGTACCAGTCAATTTCGTAATTTCTTTCTTCAAGTGTTTACACTAAATCTGATTTTTTTTTAAATCTATTAAAACAGTCTAAGGTTTGTCAGAAGTTTAATTTAGGTGTTTTAAATTAAAATATAAACTTAACAAACATCAACTAGGAACAACTAGGTATGAATGAATATAATTTGTTTCCTCCAAAATGGATACAAACGCAAATTTAATAAGCTATTTTAATAAAGACAATCAAATGCATGATTAAGCTAACATTTGATTTTTATAATTGAGAGAAATCCAAGCGAAGGTTATTTAAAATGAAAATAAACATTCACTTAAGCAGTGTATAATTTATAACAGGACTTTTAAATGACATTTTAATATCACTTTAAAATTTTTATTTACCTTCCATTTCTAGATGCAAAAAAACGCTTTTAGTTTATGTAAACTCTTGAATGAACAGTTTCGTACGTATATTATGAATGTAAACGAAATTATATTAAATTAAAAAGACAAATCATTCTACATTTGTGAACCTGATAATATTAAAAAATATCACACATAATTGAAAACCGACCGAGAGATTATTAATCCTTTAAAATATTTTTTTAATGTTTGTTTTTATTCAGAATTTCATAACTGCTCATAATTGAAATAGAAGCACTACTGATTTTTTAAATCTATGCTTTCAAAAATTGACTCTTGTAATGTAAGTTAAATATGAATAATTTAGTTTGTTTAACATAAGATATAAATTTCAATTTATATTAACAACGTTTATTTTTTTAATTACTCACATTTTCTTTATCGCCTTGAACAACATCGTTTATTCTTCTAATTTTTTGAAACAGTACAATATAAGCACAAGAGATTTCAAGTAGAAATAATGATCTTTTCCTTTTAAGTACACATGCACTAATGCTGGACAGTGATTCGCTTAATTTTGGACCAATAAAAAATGTTTGCTAGATATTTGTCAATATCATTTAGTTTAGAAAGCTCGAAAGGCAGGATTTAGTAAAATATTTTTATAAAGAAATGTATCAATTAAATTAACTTTAATACAAAACTAAGTTTTAAGAAAATAAAAGTACTATGAAGTTGATGGTAAATTTTGCTAGCAAAATTTATGAAACTAGAGAATTAAAAGCTTCGTTTAACGGAAGAAATTATTAAATAGGTATTTTAACAAGCATTTTCAAATCATTTCAATGTTTACTAGATAATTTTCCATATCATTTAGTTTAGAGAGCTCGAAAGGCAGGATTTAATAATATATTTTTTAAGGAAATGTATCAATTAAATTAACTTTAATACAAAACTAAGTTTTCAGAAAATAAAACCACTATGAAGTCGATAGGAAATTTGGCTAGGAAAATTTATAAAACTAGAGAATTAAAAGTTTCGTTTAACGGAAGAAATTATTAAATAGATATTTTAACAAGCATTTTCAAATCGTTTAAATTTTCAAACTTAAAAATATGCTGATAATATGTTGGAAATTATGAACTATTCTACATAGTTTTTAGTTCGAGTAAAAGAGCTCCCTATTGGTTAAAAAGTTGATTTTCTCAAATTCTTTGAAATATTATTGATGCTTTTTTTTACCAAACACTTTTAAATTTATAAAGCATTGAAAAGAATACACTTAGGATGTAAGAAAAGACATGAATTAATAATAAGTAACAAAGAAACGTGTGCATCCTTCGTAAAATTCTAGTTTTTTTCTTACGACTTTTTTTATTTATTTTTTTTGTTTTGAAACTCTTTGAAAAACTGATCTGCTCTGAATTATAAGAGGGCTTTACTTGTATTGTTTACCTCTTCTAAATGAACTAGATTCCCCTTACCATAGTTACAGAAAAAATTTGTTTTGCAGCATTTTATAGATGAAATCATCATCAGTACTTCCATTAACGTGATCAATCATGAAGAAATATAAACAAATAATAAAGCATTTCGCATACAGCATACTTCATAACTATCGAAGTTTAACGAAACGAAATTTCATTAACTATTTGATATTTCTTTTTAACTTCTTTAATAGTTTTTATGCCAAATGAGTTACAGAGAAGAATAAATTTTAAAAAATATGTTGATCGCCTACATGGCTGTTAGTCAGGACATTTAAATCAAAATATTTTGAATCAATAACTGTAATCAAGGCAACGCTGTAATGACTAGTTGCCCAAAAATATGTATATTTAGATGAAATCTTAAACATGCAAAGTATTGAAGACAATCAAATACAAAATTTCATCCATCAATACAAAATTTCAAAATGCGTACACCCAATAAAGAGTATTGTATTATTCACAGATTTAAGCATTTCCCAAAAATTCACTAACACGTTGAACGCCACGCTAATTTTACAAGGCTTGCCCGTCTGGCCAAACGGTAAATAACTACAAACTAAATTTGCAAATATTAGACACATTTTGCTAGTTTTTTAAAAGGTGTAGCATGACATATCTGAAAAAGGTGGTAATTTATATAAGCCTACGAATTGTTTAGAAATAGTGGTGGATAAAAATCTACTCAATTGAATTTATTAAACCAGGAATCTCAATTAATAAGCTACCACTTTAAAATATTTATTCGCTGTCCGGAGCAAGTTGGCATCTCTGTGTATATAAATAAAACTATTTTTGTGTGTTCTGTATTGCATTAATTTCTTCAAATCATTCTAGTAACGATAATAATATTTAAAAAAAATTAAAAGCATTAAACATTTACTCGAATTATGTGTTTCTAATAATCTTGGCTTCGCCGGTCACCGGTGACCCCCATGGCATTCAGCGTGTTCATCATCTTTGGACGTCAATAATAACTAAGCAATTTATTTATGGCTCCAAAAACGGAATTGTACCGTAACAGCACCTTAACTTAGACCAAAGGTCGCCAAAGTGGTCTATATAGACCCCCAGGGGTCTATTTAACAAAATTGGGGGTCTACCTGAGCCAAGGGGTCGAATGGGGGTCGATCCGAATCGGAACGGTCGAAGAAAAAACAGTTCTTATTACGTAAATCCCAAATATCTAATTGAGTATGTAAAATTTGTGAATTTTTTTTATAATTGACTTAAAATCAGTTTCTTTATAGAGCATAAATTAATAAACGCATCATCAAAAACGTGGACATCAACCTGCAAGATGAGTTTGCTGAATTATTATCGGATCTTGAAGCAAAGACGCTTTTTAAAAATTTAACAATAAGTAAATTTTGAACAAATATAAATATAATGCAAAAATATGTAGAACTTT